AATAAAATAAAATAAAATAAAATAAAAAATTAGCCTGTAGTCACCTGGTATTGGCTCTTTTGTTGGACTTTTCATTATCAAGTAGGTTTTGCCAGATGTTAACCAACGTTCAATCTCACCTGCTTGGCAGTGAATATGTTTAGACAGTCAAACATTTCAACCAAAAACTGAGCTTTGATCTGTAATAGATTTGAGGTTTTCTAAGGAAAAATAGAAGAAGATGCTTTTTGCCTCAGAGAATGATTAAAAGATAAATTAATGTGTCTGAAGAAAGCTTCAAAATTGTAAATGTGTCTAGTAACAGGTCCGTTAACAGCATAGATTAATGCAGTGTAACATTAAGATATTGTTTGAATATAGAACAATTGTTCATAGGCGGTGTTAATGACCCATGAAAGCATTGATTAATAAACTATGAAAATACTGAATTATAAAATTTGGAATATGCCAGAGGACAAGGGAATTCTTGGTATTTTGATTTATTGACTAAGACTGTTCTCTCTGCAGGGACTCACTTACTAATCTATGTGGAGTGAATAATATCTTGGATATTGATGAGTAAATCTGACAAGTTTGATTTTGTTCAATTTTTCATTTTCCATCTTTAAATTAATTGTATGCCATTTCTGCCTAAGTAGTTTTTAAGTGATCAGCACAAAAGTTTGGATGTATTTAGCAAAATGTTTAGTTTGGATATATTTAGCAAAGTGTTTACATATATACTTCTTATACATTTTCTAAGTATTTGATTTTTTTCTGTGATATTCCTTTATGCATGCATCTGCATATACATTTTCAGGAATATAGTATTAAATTTAGTAAATCAGGAAAAAATTTATTAAAAACATTTACTTAAAATCCTGAATATTTCAGTTCCAATGTTAGTTCAACAAATGATTACAAGTTTAAGTTTTCATTTAAGAATTGTTAAATTAACATAAAATTAATGAAATTGACATAACAAAAATGAATAATTGTGGCTTAAAGAGATTTTTTGGAGGGAGTTTGAAAAATTCAGAAAGATATGAATATCAAGGTCCTAACAGGACAGCTTATAAATTGTCATTTATTTTCCACTGCATGTTGAACAGTTTTTTTCCTCTACCCCTTCCCTTGGGATTAAATGCCTACATTGCTCTTTTGCATGTCTGTGGTTATGGATTGGCTGCACATTGCTCATAGTTATGAATGTTACTGCAGCTTTTCTCTGTGCTTGCAGAAGAAGAGAAAACAATTAAAATTACTGTTCTATTGTCCTTTGAAAGGAACAGTATTCAATAATAAGATCCAGATTTCTATATTTGATCATTTCATTTTCTAACTCTATTAGTCTGTTTGAAGTGTTTTCTCCTCCTCCTTCATGATGTAGAACGATGAGAACATCAAAAAAGTGTTGTAATACTCTTCCAGTTCAGTACAGTTGTATCTTTATGACCTTTTGCTGCACCATGTAAAGCAAAGCTATTGAGTGAAGAACCCTAAGCAAAAATAAAACAAAACCAGTTATGTAATAATCTATGTGCTCTTGTAATTGCTTTTATGACATTTGAATTCCAAATATCTTGCTTTCAATTTCTCCTCTCCTGGATATAGGGAGGATCCTTCAAGAAAAAAAAAGTTACAACCTTTTGTTTACAGAGTAATAGCAATCTGCTATTACAAAGAGCAATAAATACCTCTCATTCAGTCAACTACAGCTGCTAGTAACACAATTAACCCTTTCCTTGCAGACTCTTAATACTAGCTCATTACTTTAATCAAACACTGATTAATTCATTACCTCAAAACTTACAACTTTTCTACCTCATCACCTATATCAACGATTAGATAATCAATTTCTATAAAATATTTTATTAATGGTTTAATTGATTTATTGTTTTAATTGATTAGTGTGATTAGAGTGTTTAGTGCAAATAGTGTGATTACTGACTAGTTTAAAAGATCAAGATTCATGTAATTTAATTGAATAGTAAAACCAATGATTTAGTGAATTTAAATGAACAGTGTGATTAATGATTACTGTAATTAATTGATTAGTGATTAGAGTAATTAATTGATTAGGCTGATTGTTGCTCAGGAATATTATCTGACTAGAGAGATTACTGCAATTGATTGATTGGTGTGATATTGGCTATATAGATTACCCAAAATTGTTCCTTTAATTAATTCAATCAACGTACTATCTTAACAAACCTACCATGCCAAAAAGAAAATCCAATGCCAAACCTCAACCTAAAGAGAAGATAATCCCCACCAATGAACCACAAGACTCCTGCACATGCCTTAAATGCTACAAAAATCTAAAGGATAATGAAAACTCCATCAAATGTTCTCTGTGTAAAAAATACGCTCATCATGACTGCTTGGGATTAACCAAGCAATTTATTCAATACCTGGAATCATCCAATGAGTTTCCATATCTCTGCAAACCATGCAAACCCAAACTGGATCTGTTGGAAAGAGTTGATACCATTGAAACCATTGAAACATCCCTTAACACCATAGTAGCATCCCTGGACGCCGTAAAAGAAAGAATATCCAACCTTGAAAAAAAAGACACAACGCAAAAACCTGAACATCCAATAGCTACTAACCACATCTCTACCCAACAACCACAACCCAATCCAAAACCCAATCCACAAATAAACACAACCCAGACAAATATTGATATCCCAATCCTCATCAGAGAAGCTGCTGAGCGAGAACGGAAACGTCCAAACGCCATCTTATTTGGTCTAGAGGACATCAATGACAATGATGACATCACAACTGTCTGAAACATCATCAGTGATTATCAAGCATCAACCATCTCCGCTGATGAAATACTTGACATTTCCCGCATTGGCCGAGAGCTCAAAAACAGAGACGGCTCTGTGGCCCCACGCTTGTGCAGGGTCATTTGCAAAAATGAATCAAGCAAACGTAAATTCATTTACACTATAAATTCACTCGCCAAAACCAACACCAACCATAAGAACTTCTGTTGTCGCCCTGACCTAACCATACAGCAACATGCCCGCTCCCGTGTACTCCGCACCGAACTCAAAAAACGTCTAGACAATGGAGAGAAGGACCTGTACATTGACTACCATGCTGACTGTATCAAAAGTAAGCCACACAACCCGCAACTCAGCTTTAACCCTCAACCACAACCCTACCTCAACCGATCCACCATCACCCAAGACTAGGCATGCACGCCCCTAACTACCTCAATTCCAACTACTGCTGGCCTTAAATGCAAACTACTCAATGCAAGAAGCCTCGTGAATAAAATACCTGAATTTTTCCTCCTACTAAATATGGCTAAATTCGACATTATATTTGTCTGTGAAACATGGCTCAATGCATCTCTCCCTGACTCTATTACCACAGTAAGAGACTATCATGTTTACCGATCAGATCGTGAAATTCGTAGAGGAGGTGGTGTTGCTATCTTCTATAAAAAATCCTTACATCTAAAAAATATCCAAGTTACCCAGGAGCTTGCTCTTCCTGAGACCATCATCTGTGAACTATCCTTAAATATCACAATTCGATTCTTACTATGTTACAGAGCACCTGATTATGACATCGAACATGTAAACAAGCTAAATACATTACTAACATGGGCTGCATCCTGCCCATACCCTTTTATCTTTCTTGGCGATTTCAATCTACCTCATATTGACTGGACCCTAAATGATTGTACAACTGAAATCATACACACAACCTTCTACAATGCTATTACAAATCTGGGACTGGAACAACTAGTAACCAACAACACTAGACTAAACAACTGCCTCGATCTCATCTTCTGCAATAGTTTGAATTTAATTTACGGAATACAAACTAAAGAACCGTTTTCCAGCAGTGACCACAATAAGATTGACTTTTGTCTCAACATACGCCCACACAAAAATCACCACAATGATGTAATCCCCAATTGTAACTTCAAAAAAGGCAACTATGATCTTGTAGACAATGATCTCTCATCCCTTGATTGGCAATCTCTATTCACTGGATGCAATACTGTTGAAGACCATTACAACATATTTTTACTTGAAGTCAAAAGAGTCATCAAACTATATGTACCAACAACAACTCCCAAAACAAAACAAAAAAGCAGATTACCCATAACAATAAGGAAACTTCAATCCAAAAAGAGATCACTCTGGCGGAAAAAC